TGACCACTTCTTGCCGTAGGCCGATGCAGTCTTCGGTTTTGTGTCCTCGTTCCTGATGGAACTCACACAGGGCGTTTGATTTCCTTGTGGCAGGGTCTGATTTCATCTTTTGCGGCCAGTGCACCTTGGTGCCTAGCTTCTCCAGTGCGTACACTATCTCTGAAGGAGACACACAAAAGTTATGGGCGGTTAATAAAGGGGGCGTACCTCTTTCGTTTCGCAGTGGGGCGACGTGTCACTGTAGTGCATCTGTATGCCTTGGTGGCGGATGGGAGGATCTGGTGTACGGCTTGTGTCGATCTCTGTTGGAACGAGGGATTTGTTCTCGTCGTCCTTCGTTCCGTTGATCTCTCCTTGTTTCCGAGTGTATCGCTGTTAACCGTTGGGTCGGCCCATTTAGATCATCCTCGTCCGCTCGTACCTCGGCGCAGTAAGCGTTGTGGATTTCTTCCCATGTGGTAGGGGGATATTTCATGAGGCGACTCAGCAGTTTCTTGGTTGCCCTCGAACCATTTCTGCTTAGCCCGTTCTGGAAAGCGGCGACTGCCATACCTTCCGATACGTTTGGTAGGCTCATCCTTACCCTGTTAAACCTTGCCAGGAAGTCCCTGAGTCCCTCTCCTGCGTTTTGCCTGATGGCGAAGATGTCGTTGACCCTGGCTTCTGCTTTCTTCGCGCCTGCATGGGCTGTGACGAATTTATCTGCCATTTCCTAGAACGTTGATATTGCTTTAGCCGGTAGCTGAGAGTACCATGTTAAGGCCCCTCCTGTCAACGTCTAGCCAAACTTTTTCAGTAGTACCGACGGTACCTGTTCTTTTGATAGGTCGTTGCCTTTCACAGCAGTGACGTAGTGGATCAGATGATCCTCGGGATCGGTGGTTCCGTCATATACCCTCAAGTATGGTGGCATTTTGAAGGTTTTTGGGGTGGAGTGAGGAGCAACTTCTTCGGTGTATGGTTGTTCGACGAACCTTCCCACATCGCGTTTTGGTAGCAACTTGGGAGCACCGGGGATCTTGTCGACCCTCTCCTGATGTTCCTTCATCTGACCGCGGAGCGCCTCATTTTCATTTTTTATTTCTTCCATCTTTTTTAAGATGGCTTTTAGCGTGCCATCGTTGGTTTGTGTCTCGATGGGTATGCTATTTACCAGTGTAACTTCTGGTTCTCCCACTGCAGCAATGGTACCTACCGTTGGTGTACATACGACGTTATTTTGCGGTGGCCTTTCAACAAGCCACTTAGAGCGCTTGTTAGCCATCTTTCCAGTAGCTCTTTGACCGCTGAGGGTGCTTCCGTGGCTGTAGATGTGGAAGCTCCGTTGTGTAAGATCGTCAGACCTTCGGATGGGGAGGTGAGATCTCTGCACCTGGTGTGATGCTTGGGGTTTCATTCAGGGTGCCATCGTCACAGGCCTCGTTGAGAGGGCCTAGGAGATTGGTAGTGACACCCAATATGGCTTTCGATCTTGTGTTGTTTTCGGCCATTTCCTATTTTTGAGTGGTGTAGAGAGTGGTGGTTGGTTGATCTCTAGGTGGATACTATGGTTTTGATTCTCGAAATCCCCACAAACGGCGCCAAATTGTTTGGCTCAAAAGTTAACGATGTACTTTGTAAGCGATAAAACAATCAAAAAATAGAGAAGGGGTAAATCGTAATCAAATATAATAAACCTAGAGATGCAAAGATGATAATATTGTTGTAGATCTAGTGTTGCAAAGATGATAATGTATGTTCATAAGATATTTTCGTCAGAAGTAGAGATATATAGAGAGAAAGACAGAAAAGGAGAGAGTTGTATTAGATCAGCTGCCTCGTTTACAATGTGGAGGTTCCCTTTATATAATAGGAGACCTTTCTCGAACGAATCAAAAAGTTACAGAGATAGGTAAAGTCTCCCTAGTGTAGACGCTGAGTTCTAAACGATGTCGCTTTGGTCCTCACGACCGAGTCGTACCCGCTACGTTTAGTCGGCGTACACTCATTGGGCGTACCTACTGGCGTAGAGATACTGAGGGTCAAATTTGACCCTATACACATTGAACAATGTTCCAAATAACTATTTTGACAATAGTATTTTGGAGCTCATCTTTGTCAAAAGCTATTGAAGATTGAGATCATGAAGTCACGTAACTTTTTGTCAAAACTACTAAATAAACTTTTGACCAAAAAAGATAAAAAAAAAATTGCCTGCAAAGAAAGAGGATACAATATATATTTTGATCAAAATGGATGAAATATGAAAAATGATGCTTAGCAAACACTGATTGCTACAACACTGCCATTACCTATGTTTGTCAAAAGTTGGTGTAGCGATGTTTTTCTAAAAGAAGTATATTATGTTTAAGTCAATCGCAATGCCTTTGTGCTTTTTAAGGACCATTTAGAGTTCGGGGAACTAAAAGAGATTATAATAGTGTTTAACCAAAAATTAGATTTTAGGTCAAAGTTTGAATTTAGAAGAACTCGGGTTACTGATAATCGGAAAAGTATATAAGAAAGAAATTTTGAATGATATAATCAGAAAGCAAATAAAACAAAGTATATTCCAATAGTGTTTTTTTGTGTCCCTTACAGATGTTGTGACTTCCTCTTTTTATAGTTAATTTTTAAGAGAAAGTGTAATGCCTTTGTTTTAATGAGGCAATTACGAGCAATAAATGATATTGAAAGAAACGTTACTCAATTATTCATATTAAATACAAATTCTCTAACGTATTTGGCATTTAATGCTGAATTTGGACTCTTTTTCGCTATCAGGTTCATGTCTCCAATTCCTTCTGATCTTCGAACTTTAAATGACTCGAACAGGTACGAGTCTCGTTTCATTTGAATAATAGCTCGTGCCTTTAAGTATCTTCTCTCCCGCATCTGTTATTGCTCGTGCCTTCTAACTGATTACCACGTTTTGACTATTTGACCGGTCCACGTGTCATGACACGTCATCTTCAATATTTAAATTCAGTTTTTTCCCAATACAGATAGTCCCCCCACTTTCCATTTATTTATCAATTAAATATTTGGGAAGTGGATCTTTCATTAAAAAGGGAATTTTTGCCATAATCAATGCTATGACAGTACTAACGCTTCAGTTGTCTTTTCTATTTAATGCATTGTATACGTGTCACCCTCTCATTAGCTTTGCAATTTTTGCAGCCTTTTTCCAAGGCTTCTTCAACTCCTCCTTTCACGAAGTGATAGTTGCCTTTATTATAGGCTTTCCATCATTACACTTCTTAGTCTTTGACGGTCGTTTTTATATAAACTTAACCCTTCTTCCACAAATTTTTACCACAGTCGTCCATCAGTATAAATTCAATTTTTTCTTTCACCTTTTACCACATAAAACTTTTTCCTTGAACGTTTGAATTGTGCGAATCTCTGTTTACTTCTTTCTCTTCTTCATCATGTCTTCTTCGAACCCTAACCCTAAGAGAGTTCCTATCTTAGACAATTTTCCCAATGCTCCTGTTAGACATAGAAGAGGTGGGAGACTTCGTAGTTTAGGATCCTCTCGTGGTGGTAGTTCTGCCATGCCTTCTCCTAGCCCTGGTTCTTCCTATAGAACTAGAGGTTCTTTTTCTCGAAAATCATCTTCTAAGAGCAAGGAGGCTTCTGAACCAATACAGGAACCCTTGGTAGAAGAAATAGTTCCTAACGATTTATCTTTTCAGCATGATAGACAATCACTTCAGACCCAAATTTCTGGTTTGGATCGAGTTGATGCTAACCCCGCTATGATTACAGAGATTTTAGCTCTCATAGTTCGCAAAGATTGTCACTGGAGTAATGATTTTCCCNGTGTGTGTGTGTGATAATGAATTTGAAATAACTACTCCTATAGTCGGTTTGGTTCGATTTTTTTCTAATTAAAACCAAAACCAAACCAAATTTGATCGTTTTTTAAAATTCAAAACCAAAACCAAACCAAACCAAAAAGTATCAATTTTTTTGGTCAATTTGGTTTGATTTTCGATTTGGTTCGATTTTTCGAGTTTTTATGAACATCCCTAGTGGTAGCCTGCTATCGTTTTGGACGTTGTCTAGTTCTATACATAATCGAGGTTTATTTGGGTCATCTTCTTGTAACTTAATTCTTACTCCATCACAAGGTTCTTTTCAAAAGAGACCAGTAATATTAACGCCACTTTTGATAAAATGATTAAGTTGTTGTCAAGACTGATATCACTTTTATAATTGGTGAAATTAAAATTTACCTTTAAAGTCAAACTAGAACACTGTCTAGAGAAGCAACAATGTCAACTGTTTCTCTAGCCAAACAAATTGTGACCTGTGAGAGAAATATTTAATATATATATACAACAGAATACAGTTTTTTTAGAACTTCACAACTACTTTACTACAATTTTGTCATGTCGTCGTAGTCGTCTTCTTCTTCTTCTTTTAGTTTCAATCTGAAATTCAGCCAAAATCAAGTCTAATTTTTACCAAAACACTCTTAAACTTCAAATAATATTCCCAATTCTTTAGAACAACACCCAATCCAAACAAATAATGATTTTTGAAAATCCAAATTCGAATTCAAAGCTTCAAAGTTTTTTAATGGCTGTCAATGGTGGAATTGTTGCTCTCTTTTTCTTTGCTCTACATTACTGGAATTAGAGATTGAGAGAGAGAATAAGGATGAGAAATAATTGATTCCTAATATAAATGAATACTCATTTAATTCCTAAAGTGTATATAATTGATAAATTTGTATATATGAGGTAATTAAATTGAAACTTGAGTAGCAAGGATAATAAAGTTTCCAATAGTGTATAAGTATGTAAAAATCGCTTTTCAATTTATGCGATTAGGTGAGCGGTTATTTTTGGTTATTTGTCAAAATTTTCCGCTTATATCGGCAAAATTCACAAACTACAGCCCAGCCCACAAAACTAACCCAAATTGGCCCATATTCAGCTAGATGTTCTTGAAGCCCACATTACACCATTTTCCAAACCTATTAACATAGTACCCTCTATAAAAACCTCGCATCGTCCCTTACCCTTTCAGAGAATTAGGGTTTTCCTCCATAACAGGTTTCGCACCTCCAGCTTCAATGGCTCCACCTTTATGGTATTGGTAGCTAACGGTTATATTTCTTAAATTTGTTGTAACCTAATTTGTTTTTGTTTTTTAGTTTTTAGAGGTGTGTGTTTTCTCAACAAAAGAAAAAGAACAAATTAGTGAATCTTCAGATGTGATCTATGTTTTACGCTCATAATTGTGTGTATTTCTGGCAATTTTTGATTATTTCTGTTAATGATGGTTTCACTTTTGAAATTGGGGCGGGTTTTATTCAATACCCGTAAAATCCTAATGTGTAAAAATCATCAGAAATCAAGCCCTTTTTGTTGATTTCATATCCGAAGAGGGTAATTTCATATCCTATCGCCTTGTAGAGCAGAATCTCTGCAATTACTACTTGGGATTGGCCATGAGAATTACATTCCTATTAATTTCTTATTAAATTCATATTACTAAGATTTTTCTTTTTTTGCTGGTTCTTTTGGCCCGTGAGGAGATCTATTATTAAAAGAACACCATCTTTCGGGACTGAATGGCCTTTTTAAAGGCCTTGCTGTTAATTCTGCAATTCTGAGGCCTCTTGCAAATTATTTGTAAATCATGCTCTTAATTTATGTGTCAGTGTTTAGATTTTATTAGTCAAACGAGTTTTTTTTCACCGCGATTCTCTTATTTGTCTTTAACATATTTTAAATTATTAATTACTGTGTTACTTAACGTTCTTTTTGTATAGTTAATAAATATGTAAATTTTATTTCAGAAAAAATTAAGATACTATGTTTGGATTCATTGTCAAATTAAATAAAGTTTGACTCCTGAAATCGAATTTATGACATATAAAAAGAGACATAGATAGTATTATCTTTTGAGTCTGCTCATCTTGATTTTCTGTAAATTATACGTAATTGTTAGACTTATTTTAGGTCCAAATTGTTTGTCAAATGTTTTCTTTTGGTATAAAAAGTCCTAATTTTAAGGGGCGATTAATTTGTTAGGTGTGTTCTTTATAGGATGGATCTATGTTGCTCGTACTCTCCAAAAATGTGGCATAAGGCGTGTCGGATCTTCCAAAAGTAGTGCAATGTTGAAGGATCCAACACTTGCTGCTATATTTTGGAGATCCTACGCAACATAGGGACGGAGGTAGATGATTTATTTGGTTAATTCTGGTATATTGTATTTGTGATAATTGGATTGTGCTTATGGACGGTCAAGTGCTGTTTAGATGATATAACAACAGTACTTAACAAAAATACATAAGCTACATTGAAAAGCCACTATGTTCATTTTCATGTCTTTCCGTGAGTATCATTTGGGAAGGCTATCTCATTGTGGCTGAAATGTATTGCCAAAAAAACATTGATCTTGTTGAAAGATAGTTTGATAAATTTTTTTGTGACAGTTATTTTAGTTTGTCTAAAAAGTAATAACATTTTTATATTAAAAATTTCTGTTTTACAGAAGGCTTCCATTCATTTCTTAGAGGAAATGAGTCATCATGGTCGTTTACGATCTTGAAATTAAGAAAATGTAATTTTTTAGATCTCTTATGTGTCCGTGTACACTCTACGTCTCTGGGCTAAGGGCGGGCTAGGGGTAATGTCGTATATATTCTATCTTATACAAACTCCATTAGTGGGATCTTATTGGATTGTTGTTTCATGTGTAAAGATCTCTCATGTGTAAAAAGACATCATTTTGACGTACTTTTATGTAAAATGAAGTGAACAGAGTAACCTTTATACAAAGTAGCTGTGTAAATACAAGACATCATTGGATCCAATATAATTTGATTGTATATCTGATATTGGTTTTTTATTTGTGATGATTTACGTTTGAATTGGGGCAAGTGTTTGCACTACTTGTATGACTCAATTGAAAAAATCATCATAGAGCAAGCCTCTTTTGTTTATGTATGGCAGTTGAGACTTTTCTCTCATTTATGGGAGGAGAGAATCCTGCTATATGTCTGAAGGGTGCGATGTCATATCCTATCGCCTTATGTAGCAGAGTCTCTGCAATTACCATTTGGGATTGGCCATGAGATATACATTTCTTTAATTGATGTTGCTATATTTTGAAAATTTTGGTAAGAATCTTATTAGAGCCTGATTGGACATAAGAATTTTTTCACTTTTTTTGAAATCATTGTTTGGCCATAAAATTTTCAATTTTCATTTGAAGATGAATTTTGGATTTTTTCGAAAGCTTGAAAAACTTAAAAATGCATTATACTATTCATGTCCAAACACAACTCCAAATTTCAAATATCATTATCACTTACTTCACTTATATTTTGTAATTTTATAATTTTTATGTCCAAACGTCCACTTAGGTCTTTGGACATTGGAAAATACTTGTAAAATATGTGAATTTAATGATAGTGGTCTTTGTGGGTTGTGATTTGTTAAGAATGGACAGTGAAGCATTTTAACTTGGACAAGGACACAAGGAACAACTTATTTAGGACATCAAAAAGTTGCCTTTATATGGAATTATAAACTAAACTAGGAGCTTTTAGATTTTATGGAAATGATATCTCCTGCGTTCGTTTTAGCTCTACAATTTAATAATCACTTTACATAATTAAAGGCAAGCAAAACTTAGATTTTTGATGGTGTGTAACTTAAGTAGTTTCAAAAACTTTTTGTAAAATAATTTAACGTGTTATAGTTAACGTGGGACTGAAATAAGAAATTGTTTAGTTGTATGTCATCAGAACCGGGAGATATACTATTCGACACGATAACGTAAAACTAAAGTCGGACTTTGCCTCAGCTGTACTTTGCAATGAACACAAGATATGCTTAGTCAGCTATAAGACAAACACGTAACTGACTTCACATTTTTTAGAGATCTCAAATGATCTGTGTTTACCAATGTTGTTTGAAAGTTTTGTGAAATTTCCCTCCCTTCCATTAAAGGAAATAATGAAGGTTTATACCAACCTAATAAGAAAGGTTTACACCAATTCATAAATATATGATACATATGACGCCCATGACAGAGGATGGACCGATGGGGTCCACATCATAATGGGAGGGATAGGTGAAGAGTTCAATTAGGCACAACACAAGCTCATGTGTTACTTGCGTTTATGGATTCATGGTGTAGCCCAAGGGACAAATTCGTGAGGCCTGTTGGGCGAATGTAAACAATACTCAAACCATAATAATGTATGTGAAGACATGTGGTGTCCCAATTCCATGACACCATGAGTTGTCCCAAGAGTACTCAAATAAATGGAGAGGACATTTTGTAACGGATGAAACTAAACAACTAGTCATGAATGTTTAATAAAATTCAGTAAATAAGATGGAATATGATTAATCCTCCAATTAGGAAACTAAAGGGAATTTAAGGGTAATATACATATTATATATATATTTTTTGAAAGATTAGCAATACAAATTAAACTATTATTTGATGAGCCAGATCAAGAAAGTTCTTGTAAATGTTCAATACACCTTATTGACATGAAAGACCTTCTAGAATGAATTGATGGAAGAAGTGTGGTAAGCCAAGTATAATATAATTCTCTCTAGCACTACGAATATGTAAGATGTGTCTGATGGATATATCGTATAAATTCTTATATTCGAGTTATTTAGGCAAATATTGTGATATCTGTCATCATATAGTTGGGGACCATTATACCCTTCAAATAATGTCACTACATGATAGAGTTGCATCCTGAATGTTACCCGTCATTCTCAAAATTACTACATTAAGTCAATGAGAAAAATTAACAACCGCTACTTATAGCGGAGCAAGTTTTGGTACTTTTTCATAGTGTAGTCAGCCATCAGATTATCATTTACATTGTGCTTCATTCTACCAAATTGTTAAAAACTTGTCTTTTTTTTTTTTTTGAGCAAACAAGGTATATATATATATATATATATATNATATATATATATATATATATATATATATATATATATATATACTTAAGGAGGATGAAATACATTGTTTCCAAACATAGTGTCTCTAAGGACACTTTGATTTCCTAAGCTTGCCAAGGTATTGCAAGCATCATACGATAGTTNCTTATAATAAAATTAACTTATAATTTTACATAAAAATAATAAATGCACGAAAATTAATTTATCAAAATTATACACCAAAGTTAAGATATAATATTAATATTATAAAAACATTACATAAACATAATTAAGTATATATAAAGAGATAAATTAAAAGATTAAATAATAAAATAATAATATAAAAGTGATGAATAATAAGGGGGAGATGAATAGTGTAACCTCATATTTGAGGGAACACTATTCATCCCCTATTTTAGGGACAAAAATAGGGGAGGGTTCGAGTTAAATTACCCCAAAAATTGCCCCCATTATGGGGGATGGGGGCAAGGTTGGAGATGGCCTAACATCTAGCCAACTTTGAAATTTTATATGCAATGTAGAAAGTATTGACTGCTTTACAGGACAACTAACAGGGATTCAATTATCAATATCTTCTCGAAAACAATCCAAATAAATTTTCCTGGCAATAAGTTCTTGAAATGAGAAGCTGAGCTCAAGAAAAAATGAAGAAACAGTTTTCAGCTTGGTCTTTGTAATAGTTCATATTTCGCACGTATCTCTGCATTAGCAACGCATATAAATATTCAAAATAAAAAAAAAATAAAAAAAAAAAAACCGAGCCTGATGGCCATCTTTATGCACATCAAAGGTAAAGTTAGCACTTACGTCGCTTTTAAATCAAGCTTTTTTACATAGTCCATTACTCAAATAGTTACTCAATTCGAAATTATCTATTAAAGACAGTTTTCTTTCGTTTGCAATAGAAAGTCACTTAAATATACCTATAGCACTCACATTTAGTTGCTAAATACCTATTTTAACCTCTAAATTATCAACTTTTACTCCTTTTTTTACTTTTTAATATTATAATTTTTTTCTCTTTTTAATTTATATTATGAATTTATCTATAAAAGAATTTGTTTTATTTATAAATAAAAAAATAAAAATAGTATTAAAGCATATATAATGTTGGAATAATAAAATATTAAGCGTATTAAAAATATAATTAGAATAATTTGTTCGTACTAATAATTTTAATATTAATAAAAAAACTCAAAAAATTATTTTCAAAATTGAGAATGAAAGAAAATAAAAGTTTTCAAAATATATATTTCATGCACGTAATATAAAAAATAATTATTTTTATTTTTAATTTTTTAGTGCCCTTTTTTTTGACAAAATTTGACTTTTATTTCATCAAAAACTGTCTTTACATTCCCAGATTAATGCTGACCATTAATCTCCTATTCACTATTACAAAGTAAAACTATACTATACTGACATTAATTACAAGTTTCTATACTAAGGAATATTTTTTAAATTCTCCAATTCTGCTCGCCATTTGATCTTCTTTCTGCCTTGTATGTGTATATGTATTGCAATTTCCTTGCAAAGTTCATCTATGTTGTATCTTCCTTTGTTAAATCGCATCGAATTCCTTTCACGCCAGATGCAGTAGACAACCATTGCAAACAATGTTGTGATCATTTCTGCCCTGCAATCTTTCCTCTTTGCCATACTGCTTATCCATTTCAGTTCATGCTGCCAGCTTCCTATCTGCCTCGCATTGCCCATTCATATCAATACTCTTTCCCATAGCTTGTTCGTACTTGGACAACCAAAGTATAGGTAGATCAAATATTTCCCACTAGTCTTTGCATAGAATACACATTCTAACTGAACTTGAATACCAAACTTGGAAAGTCTATCCACAGTTGCTATCCTTTGGTGGATAGCCAACCATATATGGAACTTGAACCTAGGATGAATCTGTGCATGTAGATGAATACTCTTCCAATCTACTTTGGGGAATTGAAGCTGCAATTGGACATAAGCTTTATGTATCTGAAATTTGCCTTGCTTCACAAAGCTGTCCAGTGTGTTTATGAGATTGTTATGAATTGACCTCAGCTTCTGTACTTCATCCTTTGCCTCTATGATCTTCATCACCACCCATGTTGCTGTTTTGGGTGTGCTTACCTCTTCAATAAGCCTGTTTTTTATGTAGTAGATATGAGCCCATTTAATCCACAAAGNCCCACTTCATTAAGTCTACTTGATAGTGGATATACCTAGAAAGCATCTCAAGACAAAGGATAAATATATAGGGAGAAATGGGATCCCCTTGTCTAATACCCCTGGTAAGCTCAAAAGAATTTGTGATTGAGCCGTTGACCAGGACTGAAATTGAGCTAGTAGAAATGCAATTCAAAAGGAGTTTGGAGAATTTGGGTGGGAAATTGAAGTATTGAAGAGTGTAGTGAATAAAGGACCATTCAATACTATCAAAAGCCTTTTCCAAATCAATTTTCAGCAGCATTTGACCTTTTTTACCTTTCAATTTCCTCAAGTTTGAAACAATGTCTTGAATAATAATAGCATTATCAGAGGCTCTTCTATTTTTTAGGAAGCTTGCTTGATAAGAGCTGATGATGTTATTAAGAAAAGGTTTTAGTCTATTTGCTAAGATCTTTGTCACTATTTTATAAATTGTATTACATAAACCAATATGTCTAAAATTTCTTATGTTATTGGCATTAGGAATCTTAGGTATGAGACATAAGAAGGTTTTATTAAATACAAACAAATTAAGAGAACATCCTGAGGAAGTTGGAGAAAACAACAACAACATACCCAGTCTTATCCCACACCGTGAGGTTTGGGGAGGGTAGTGTGTACGCAGACTTACCCCTACCTTGTAAGGATAGAGATGTTGTTTCTAGTAGACCCTCGGCTCAGGAAAGCATAGGCACCACATTAATGAAAATATAGATCGGCAAGAAGGGACAGTACCAAAAAAACCATATAATGAAAGGAAACAACGGTTAGTCATAAAAAATCTACTGTCCACAGAAGCGAGACTGCATACCAATACTACTTTTATGAACACTCTAGACTACCTACTTTACTACCCTAATCCTCGACCTCCATACCTTCCTACCAAGGGTCATGTCCTTGGTCAGCTGAAGCTGCGCCATAATTATTCCATATTCTCTCTACAATAAATGC